TCCTAAAGCACAACAGTTTAAGCTTATACACTTTTTCTTAATCATATGAGACAGCCGGTCAGAGTAGATCATACTGTAACCTTAACAAAAGTGTAACACAAACCTGCCAAAGAGGAAATCTCATATTTCTGTATACTCAGGTACTCTGCCCAATGCCAGGGTCACCTTCACCGGAAAAATAAATCCCTGGTGGCTCTCTAACACTACCCATAAGACCTCTCTCCCTTTGAGAGGCGGTGAGTGGGTGTCAACCTAATGTTTATACTGTCTGCTCATGGTTATGTAAGCCATTTTGTCCTCTCTCTTTTTCTCCCTCTCTCCATCTCCCTTAGCTTGTTTAAACTAATCTACCTTTACCTTTCCAACATGCCAAGTTGTGTGTTACATAAATATTCTTTGAACTGGTCTAGCTTAAGGTTTTTCAGCATACCAAGGTGTGTATTACATAAATATTGTAGGCCAGACTGTAGAGAGGTACTGTACCGTGGAAGCTGTGTTTTTTTTTTTGTCAGAGTCAAGGATGCTTCTCTTTCATGAAGGGCAGGTTCAGGGAGGCTGTGGTACTTGTCTGAACTATCCCTGTGATAACAGCCTCTAGAACGAACGAGTCAGTGTGTCTACTCAAACACACACACAAATGTATCTTTACAGTGGGCGGCTCTACAGCAGTGTAAATACAGTACAGTACACAGATCTTTCGTGTGTGTGTGTGTGTGTGTGTGTGTGTGTGTGTGTGTGTGTGTTGCAGACAGCGTTACATGCATGATGAGGACATTGTTTTTCTATATAACAAAACTCTCTCTGTGGTTCAGCTGCTTGCTTACTGACTCCGTCATACTAATGTACTTTGTGTGGGTCACAGGGTTCAGTCTTACCACGTGGGCCCTGCTGTCCTCCATCATACAGCCATTCTCATGGCCCATTATTCACCCATAATGATGTTATCTTGATAACCTCAGAATAACTACGGCCCCCTTGACTTCCTTTATATCTCTAATTTGTCAGTTTTCTTCAACTTCATGCTGCGTTTCTATGGCAACTAATTGCTCTAGTTATGCCACGCTCAGCTGACTTCTGACCTTTTCTTGTGACCCATATTGACCTGTTTATAGTTAATGGATTAAGAGAGAGATAAAGTGAGAGAGAGCGCAGCTTCAGTTGACTGCTGTGATTACAAGGTGCAGCGTTTCCGGATTCTGATAAATCTTTGGCTTAAATAACCATCCTTTCTGGTCTTATTGCTCGCTGATTTAGAATTCCTTCCACAGCTGAGAGAGGGTGGAGATATTTGAACCATTTGGAGAATTCTCCCAGTGTGACATCCAAATTACTTGTAGAAAAGCATGAAGCCAATTTGAGCCCAAACATCTGTCCTGTGGTTTGTCCTCACACATTTTAGTGGGCACAGTGGGCTTTGTCTGGCTTCAAACTTGCACATTTCTTTTGCTTATGTCATTTCATTAATACTTTCCCTAAGCAGCATGCCGATCTGTGAAGCAGCAAAGGGGGCAGCAAGAGTTAGTAAGAGATACAAATTTCTGCTTGTACATTTTGGTGGGAAGAAACAGGCATTGTGTACTCGCACTCATCTGTATCCTCATGGGAAATAAACAGCAACTAAATCAGTTGTTAGCTTTGTGTGTTATCTTTAAAGATGAAAGGACACTGAAAACAATGAAACCGCTGCCCTGGGGTTTCTGTAGGAAGGGAAAAAAGCAACAACTGGAGCGAAGAATGAAACCTTTGATCTGTGCAGTCAGTCCCATTGAGTTAGTCTGAGACTGTACCCAGAAATAGAGAAGACAGGGGTCAAGAAAAAAAAAAAAAGTCACAGACCCAGTTCACAGAAGTAGCCTACTCACTATTGCAGTACTTTTGTGGGAACAGTCATAGTCATTATTTTACAGATACTGGTAGGGATATTAGATTATTTTTTGCAAAAATGAAAAATGTCTCATCTTTAAGGATCAAGTAGAACAACATTGTTTGTGTTAATATACTGTACAATACAGCTTACCCCCCAAAAATCATCTGTAGTCAGTCAGCATTATCTCTGCAAATTTGCTTCTTCTGCTCTGTGGCTGTGTTTTCAGTATGTGATGAAGGGTGGCACTAGGTTCTCCAGGCAGGTATTAACAGTGTGAACTGCCGGCCTTAACAAGATGTTTCTTTCAGTGGTACATTATCATTTAAGCCTTCATTGAAACAGACATAAATTGCGACCTCAGAATATTTCAACCCGTGAAAATGACAAGCAAAACAAAAAAGGAAATTGACTTGGCATGTCCTCGTGGCCTAGTGGTCAGAAATGCTGCACTACTTAACCACACTGTCCCCATTTTGATTTCAACTTTGTTGCTTGTCATTCACTTATTCTTTCAAGCTCATTAAAACATATTTCCATTATTATTCTTGCACATACCGTACGCTGACAAACGGTAGGCTAATATCTCTGCTGAAACAGCCTGATTTGGGAATGTCTGTTCGCTTGTGTTTAGTTTTGGGCTACTGGCAGCCATTGGTGCACAGTCAGTGCAGCCTGGCCTGTCTGCTCTGGTTTCATAAGCAGACAGAGTGAATGACCTATATAATTCTCTGAGGGAGGGGAAGTCACCTTGTTGGTGGACCAGCAGGCAGGCACACTGGTGCACAGCGACAAGGTTTTAATGTGCAGCACTATTAAAGCGTTGACCACTGACTTGATATTCAAGGCATATTTTAGAGGAACCTTTCATACGCTGCTTGTGTTGCTCTTGGCCTTAAACTTTGCTGGGCTGTTTTTCTTGCCGTGGATCATCTTTCTTGTTAACACTGCTTTGTCATGGTGTGAAAAAGGCCAATGTATGTGGAATATTCAGTAGATTAACATGCTGAAAAACACACCTTGACATGGACTGGATTTGCACATGCACACATACACACATGCACACACTTGCATTAGCTGAAACCATGGGGCCCAGTGCCAGAAAGATCTAGTCAGACAAACACCTCACCAGAGACTCCTCTAAGCGTCCTAACAAATTGAATGTGTGTGTAGATGGACAAGAGGGAATTAGATCAGTGGTCCTGATTGTATCTGAGTGTGCTGTTGCTGTACCCCTTTCCAGCAAGTCCCCTGGAGGAAATGTGTGTGCGTGAGAGAGAGAGTGAGGCACAGTGACAGAGGGAGAGGGAGAGAGAGAGAGCTTGGCAGCTGGTTTGATGAAGGATGTAAGGAGAATGTTAACCAGACAATCACCTTGCATGTTATTGATTGAGATGGGAGAGAGGTAATTAGCACAGAAAAGAAGGGGAAGCTGAGGCCACTTTTAATGTTTTGATACAAGGTGTTCTCTCTTTGTACCCATCTACATGTTGTGTTCTTTGTGAGTGTTTGTGTTTATGTGCATGAAGGGAAATTTATGAAATATTATAGTGTGCGTCCGAATTTTTCGATCTGATGTGTACAAACCTTACCTTAAATGCATGCAACTTTGAATCAACTCAAAATGTAAACGTAAACATGTATCATTTTTTATTACATGTGAGAGCCACCTGATTCAGTCATTCCATTAACAAGTAGCAGAAATAAGTAGCGTACCCTAATATAATGAGCCTATTACAATTTTATTCACACCATTAAGCTACATGTCATGTGCTCTCCTCCACGGAGCAAAGCTGTTCTACAAAATGATGAAACCATGTCAGCTTTCATACTGAAATGTATTTAGTACCCTATTCAGCTTTTTAAATTTCCTTAATTTCTTCTCTAACCCCATCTTCTGACTTACATCTCCATTACAGGGACAAATCGGGTTTTTTGACGTCGGGTTGTGTGAGGTACTCATATATAGTTGGTATATTACCTACAGTAGATTATGATCCCAGTCAGGAGAGCCGACCGGGGCACCGGCAGAGTGGCAGAGCTGTGCCTTGTTGTGCACGGGGCCACGAGAAAAAATATGCTGTAGACACTGTTAAAAAATGGCCACCGAAACAATGCAATATTCGTTTAAATGTACACCTACATGTGGCACTGCTTATAAAAAAAAGTTGCATTATTATTGTTACATTTATGATTATCAAGGTTTAGTTGATAAATTATAATATAGATTGTAGGTAACATTGTCCATCCCTATTTTGAGTGCACTCAAGTATTTTTTGCTTCCTCAAACATGGTAGTGTTTCGCTTTAGTACCTGGATTCATAACAGATTAACTATAAACAGACATTGTCCATTACTTTTGACCTTTAACACCCATTACCACACTTGCATGAATAGGTAAACTGCAACTGTTAACTAATTGTCTCATTTAGCGTTGCATCAGTAAGAACATACTGTACATCCTGAGCTGTAATGGTCATATAATTGTAGAAATCAGTCAGTGGTGAAAGCAGTAAATGATGCCAAAGTAAACAATGCCTTGGATCAGGCAGAAGTGCAGCAGACTGTCATCAGCTCTGTTGCCTGTTGGTTGTAGATCAGAGTAAATAATGACGACATGCTGCTGTACTTACAGTACAGCACAGCACCCATCGGCACTGATTCTCACCTTTGATCTTTGACCCCAAACTGGCTGCACAGTTTAGACTATTACAGTAAAATGTTTGCTCTATCATGGTTTATTATTTTATTCCACCACTCAACACTTCCACAAGCCAGAGCAGACAAGTGTTTTGGATCTTACTTAAATTTGACATCCTGCTCTATGTCTCTGTGCTTATTGAATTTAAATAATCTCCTCTATAATTCTGTCATTGTCATCTCTGTAAGCCTGGTGAAGCTATAAATCAGTTGAGTGCAAAGCCCTCCTCTCTTGGTTGGCAGACATCTTTATGGCTAGCCACATTGTGCTGCTACTGTACTGTGGGTCGTAAAAATCAAAGAATGTTTCACAATGTGTATCAGGCTTTAACACAGGGAGGATGGGGACATTCTGCCCTGGCTTTGTTGTAGACTTTTGAAAATTCTTTGTTGATTTATGCCTGGTCTAAAACTGCGTGTGTGTGTGTCCTTTCAGCTCGCCACTGAGACAACCGTCCTCGACAGTCAAAGTGTGCCTAGTATGTGGAGACGAGGCATCAGGATGCCACTACGGTGTCGTGACATGTGGAAGCTGCAAAGTCTTCTTCAAAAGAGCTGTGGAAGGTACGACATTAACCCCTGTTCAAACAAGATGTCACTGTTTAGAGCTTTTCTACAGCAGCTGAGAGGCGGTAATACACCGCAAGTTCAGAAATCACAAGCAAATGACGACAACATCTTCATCACTTTGACCACACATGAATGTTGTAAATAAGTAAATAAGAAACAAGCACATGCATGAAAAACATCTGATAAATCAACAACACACACGCAGCACAAAGAAATGCACTGTGAACACAGAAAACACAATGAAAGAGAAATGCTTCAGGTTGTATTGATAGATGGAACAACGTCACAACACAATCAAAGATTTTTGGTGGCGCAAAAAAATTACGAACAAGCTAGTAATTAGAAAAAGGCTGAAGCTAGGTGCATTGCCCATATCTCCTGTAATATCGTAAACATGCAATCTGAGTGTTAAAACTAAAATAAATATCAATAGTTGATTTTCAAACATCAATGATGAGTGGTCAACATATTCATCTAGATATAGACATCACATGGACGTCACAATTTGTGTCATCCAGAAACCTTATTGAACCTAGTGTATCTCTGTAATTGCTTGTGTTTTCTGTATTTGCAGCATGTTTCTTTATCCTGCATATGTGTTGTCATGTGTTGCTTAATTACTTTGTGCCCTATTTATATGCAGTGTTTTTGTGTTGGGAATGTGGTCAAGATGTCTTTCTCCTTTCGCGTATATTATCTTTTGTTGCTCTCATACTGAACATTTTCATTCTTCAGAGAAAAGTGACACAGTAGTTGTTTAAACTCTAATCCTAAATGCAATTCTCGGCAGAAGAAAGCCACTGTGCCAGTATTATGCTGTTATTCAGCAGGTTTTAACTCATATTGCATTATTCCAAAATGAATACCCACAATTGGTTCAGTGAGTATCAAATAATTTCAAACAATATCATCTTAACTGACAACTGCAGCCTTCAGAGTTATTGGCACACATTCTGCTCAATTTATTAACAGTGGTTCGTGGGGGCTACCTTATGCCAAGTAAGTTTAAATTTGTGGTACAAGCTTACAACTTTTCCAACTGGGACATATCACTAAGAAAATGTGTGAAAATATAATAACTTCTCTCGATAATCTTCATATTTTTCAGATAATCACTTTTTTCTTGATAGAAAAAAAGACTGACAAGCTCAGTTAAATAAGTGCATGGTTGAAAGCAGTGACGCACCTTGTTCTTTCAGCACTGAATTTTTGGAAGAATTATTAATTAATAGTTGATGCTGGTTTTATTTTTTTTGCAACACACTACCGGTTAATCTCAGTAGAGCTTCTGTATATTTGTTATTTCCAAAAGATCATTACAATTACCAAAAGGGGGCCTTACATTTATAGTAGAGTGGCATATCGTGGAGAAAAAAAAAACATTCAGTAGGTAATTCTCCTACAGCAGCCCTTTATGTTATATTTAGCTTGGGGAAAATCAGCAGCTCCATAATGTGCTTTTCATTTTGTGCCTGTTGCCTGAGGCGTTGGCCTAACTCATTTAGATGAGTGTTTGAATGCAAAACACACTCTTACACACCCCGAGTAGGAGAGAAAAAAAACAAAAACAAACGAGCAAACAAGCCTGCCAGCCAGCCATTAAGCCCTCTAGGTGTTTTCCTGACCATTGGAGGAATTGCACTCATTTCCAATCAAATCATGCTTTAATTTGATGATATTTACACACTGTCATTCTGGAGACCGGAAACCAGATTATGTGTCTGGGGATATCAAATCAAACATGCCATTGTTCTTGCTTGAAGCGTGGCCAACAAAGAGCCCATGACAGATGCTAAAGATCTGAATTTTGGGTGACTGCTTGTCAAGTGAGGCTCTGGAAATCCCAGATTTCTAGATGACTACTAAACTAAGTATTTGTCTCTTATATATATTATTATGACTATACTGATACTGACTCGTTGATTGTGTAATGCCCTTGAAATCTAATGCAGTACTCTTTACTTTCATATCTCTTTATGAGTATCTCTCTGCCAAACAGCCAAACAACTGCAACTGTACAAACTATGAAAGCGTAATACGGGCAACCTATACAGTGTTGTGATGTCCTAAAGGTTGCATGTGAAGCATGCGCCCTTCTGATGTGCAAAGCCATTACCTTACTTGACCCCTCCACAGCTGCCGCTGAGGTGGAAGGAGAGAGGTAAGGTGTAGGGAGGCAAAGGATGAAAATAGTGAGAGAAGGATTTTGCAAAGTGAAGAGAGATAGAGGACAGTGAAACAGATACAGCGAGGGAGGGGGTGAGGAAGGACAAAGAAAAAGTCAGACGCAGACAGAGAGATAAAGAGAGGAGGAGCAAGAGACAGGGAGAGGGATGGAAAGTGATGTGTCAGCAGTGAGCGCCGGAGAGGTGTAAGTTAGGACGTGAGGAGACGTATTACCCCTCCTCTCTACCAGTATTTCCTCCTCCTTCTCCTCCTCTTTTCTCTCAAAGTTAAAAACTTCGACTCTGTATGATGAGATATAAAAGAAGAATGCAGAGAGTGGGCATCTGTACAAGGGGAATAATCCAGCCCATGCTTAATTTCTTTTGGCACCGCCTGCCTCGGGGGACACAACTTTTCGGTCGGCTGTAGCTCATTAGACGACTAACTGGCTCACAGCCCTTTACTACAGAGCTAGTTAGCATTCTGGAGTCATCAACAAATCACATGAAATCCTCTGACTGTGGAGGGTCTCGTTTCCCCTTTATTCAAGTCAGACAAGTCATTGTGTTAGGTAGCTTTATTTTACATCCGCGGAGCTTGGCACAGTTATTATTTGAAGTCTACATTTTAGGTTTATATGTAGACCATCTGTTCGGAATATCTATTGGCCACACTAGCCTTTTACTTTCCAAATCTGTGCACTTATAGTCCTCCTCAGGAGGGCGAATATTCATTCCACTTAATTTTTGTCATATCTACCAGAAGGCACAGCCAACTGTACACTATAAAGTTTATCACCGTGGTCCCAAGAAATATATAGAAATATCAAATTAAGTGCTGAGTTTACTCTGGCTGTAAGCTTTTCAAAATGTCCTCAATTTATTCTTTAAGCATTCACAACACAGTACATATGCACACTCACTTATTTTTTTTTATAAAAGAAACATTCATCCACCTGCTCTCCTATTCACTACAAGTCATGCAGTTTATCTTACACAGTATGGCTGTGGCTCTTATTGTACTCACATTTTATTTACTGTCACATTTTAGATGTTCTTGTATAGTAAACAAACATAGAAGAGGGGCAATAACTTTTATGAATCTTACAAGCTTTGCAATTGTATTGCTACTGTTGACTCAATTGTCAGGTGCAAACATGCAGTCAATTTATAGGCTCTATTGAAATGAATGAATTCTTCAGTATAAATGTTTGTTCTGCACTGCAGAAAAATGCCTACTGACAAACAACAGTTCATAAATGTGTTATCGCTAATGAAATGTGGAAACTGGAAATAGCTGAATGCATTCATATGTGCTTCTCTCCTGAATCCACTCTACTAAAGACTAGTTTGTTGATACAAGGCAGCTGCACTCAATAAACGACTCCATGTGGAGCGCATTTGAAGAGTTGAACGCCAGCTTATTATTCACATGTCATCAGTGGCTTGGCATGTCTGCTCTTTGTAATAATACTAGGCACTGCTTTTAGCTCACTAGCTGTTTTTGCTGGTCTCGTATTGAACTAAGAGCCTTACAAAGACATTAGTCAACCTTGTTATGGCCTCACTGTGTTCTCCAATGTAACTGGGTCGTGGTTTCCATGGAGCCCGTGTCAATCTGAAAACCTGTTCTTCAGTACCGCCTCTGTGGGAGAGGTCATCTGAGGACACGTCTCGCACTGCTTCTGCTTTGACTGGCAACTCTGGCATCCAATAACATCTTTCTTAGATCAGGACGGAGGAATAAAGGCCTCCTCCCTCCAGTGCTGGAGTGAATGCTTCAGGTTATGTGTGTGTGAGAGGCTCATGTAACAACTGCTGGAGAGAAGCCATTTAGCTTGTGTTGTCCTCATCCCAGCTCCTCAACACATGTCTCACATCAGACGTTCTTTGATCAAAAACTGCATAAAACATACAAACACCATCGCAGGCACAAGCTTGCTATAGACACATGCATGGGCACACATTTCTTCGTAAGTAGTGAAGAAATTCAGGTGTACTGCATTAGATAGAAATTAAATCTGCAAAGCTTGGTGCAAGTACTATATGTGTGACCCACATTGCTATTAGGCCTTTAGGTTGGAGAATGCAACCTGAGGAAGGGTCTGTCTAATGTAACCTAGATACAGTTACCCTTACAGTATGTGTGTTTTACATGCTTAAAGCTTTAAAAATAGACACAAGGGCATACAATATATCAGGAATGCATCTAATGATTACTTTTATATAACAAAAATCTGCAAATTGTTTTCTTAGCCTGTAAAATAAAAGAATATAGAAAAACACTCTTGTCAAGTGACTAATCACTTAATGGACTAATGATTTCAGCAATATAATATATACACTGCTTTTTATTGCTTGTGAAGCCCCTTATTACAGTAACAGGTAGGCCTACCCTGTATGTTTGGTGCACGTGCATGATTATATAACTCATTTATATGCACACACTACTTCCTCCATGCCCTCAGTTCCCCTGGCCCCGGGCTGACCTGCAGGGCTGACCGCTCTCCGGTGGATATAATCTGACCTCCATCTCTTCCTTCTCCCTGGTGATACCTTTGTTCTTTGACATCAATGCAAAAAGTATCTAGTGCAGATAGTGGGTTACACCTTTTGTGTTCAACCAAATAAGCTGTGCCAATCTGATGGGCTTTATCGGTGTCTTCACTGATGATTGGTTTGTTACAGATACAGTACTAGGAGAGTGTTGTGGTATTATACTGTGATGCCAGTATGCTCTAAATGTGCATATCAGGTCCACTTGATCTATACACAAAAAATCTTATATAAAGTGGTAGCAGGTAAGAAACCAAACACATTGTTTTCCTTCAAAATGTGAGTTTAAGGCATTCAAGTAATGTTTCTATAGAGATGAGAAAGGAGGTAGGGAGGGGCATATTTCTGTTTTAACGGTTGCCTGTTCTCTCTGATTTGAAAAAAAAAAAAAATCAAATTCATTTCTGACTCCTAGTTGTAAGATCAATCATATGTTTTTAATTTGTACAAATTAATATTTGAATATCTTGGCAAACAATTTGATGTTGTGCTACTGCTGGGAATAAAGTTATAATGAATTGTAGATGAGAGTTCTGTAAGATACAGTCTAACTGCTTCTATCATAAACATTGCAATAACTGGCTATTTTTGTACATGAGACACTTGAAAATATCATATTGAGGCCTAAATAAAGAATAAATGCATTATGTATAGTACACAGAAAGCAGATGGAGAATATCTTTGTGAGAATAAAATGCACTGGACAACTGTCTGAGATATAGCACACTATTATAGAAGAGGAGACATTAGTAAACAAAATAACAGCTTCTATTTACATCCTATTTTAACTTGTGCAGCCTCTCTTTATAATGATCCAGACAGGGAAACTTAATTGTGTAGAGCCCCATCCAACACAGCTGTTTGTGTGTTGTCCAAAGAACTGGAGTAGCAGAGCTATTGCAAGGCAGTGATTTGCATATTGCTGGCCCAGTGGTAACAACAATTACATCTCTAAGAGGCCTGTCTTTTGGTTGTTTGGTATTTTGGCTATGTAATTTAGGTTGCATAAATACCGATGAATGACGATCACAGAATTGACCAAATGCTTTGCGAGTGGATGATTAAATGGCATTAATCCATGAGACTGACAGAGATTTCAGCATATCCTTTAGTTATATTCCATCTTCTGTCTGCAGTACCGGCTTGCAACTAAGAAATTTGCTTCCTCTGCCAAATGCCAGTCTGTGAGTCACACTAGTATTATTGATGTGGGTCAGCTACTGTATCTGAGAGGCTATTTACACAATCAGGGGTCTGAGAACTGTGTAGTGGCTATTTAAATATGTCACATTCAAGTCAGTATTTTAGAAAAGGCCTCAAGTCTGTCTGTGTTTTGTTTGGAAAGCAGATGTACTGTATCTGAGCTGGTGGCAGGAGGACTGCAGGGCAGACTGCGCTTGTTCAAGTGGGGTCCCCACAGGAAAGAGTATTTCCCTCTCAGAAGAATTTCCTCATAACTGATGTATGCTGGAGCTGACAGACAACATAGACTACTCAGCGTGTTGTTGCCAGATTGTGAGATCATTAACTATATGTAGACGTGAGTGGACTCCATTAAAGAGCTCTGAGGGTTTCCTTGTGATGGAGAATGCTGACAGAGTGTGCATTGTACCAGAATTGAGTTTCTGGAATTATGTCAAGTTAATACAGTACAATAAATACAATTTAATACAATCTGAGGAATTTTTATCTTTGTCATGGAGGATCCTATAAAAATATCTTGATATGATTTGGCATTATTTACTGTTTTTACAGTAAAAACAGGACTGATGGATTTTTGGATAAGAACCACAAGGAAGTATGAGTCAAAATATTAGTTAATAAATTAACCACTTTCATTAGAGATGAAAGAAGTTGTTTTTTTTTCCAAGTTTATAAGACATTTTCCAAGGTAACACTCAAAATTAACATTCATCAGTAAGCCTGCCACGTGCAGGTTGATAAGCAAATGCACATATTCAGAGGTAAACATGCTGTGTGAGTGTATTTGAGTGCATGCACACAGTGCATAAATAAACAACTTCTCTCCCGTTCAGATACATACACACACACAGTTGTGCGCATACACACTACTGACTTCAGCTGTCTCATAAAGTGTATTTCACTCTAACAATTATTAACAAGATTCACGGGAATGAGCAAAACAGTTGACAGGAAAGCTCCAGACTTTTTAGAATTGCCATTTGGTCCGGCCTATCCAAGTGAGAGAGTGTGTATATGCGTGTGTGTGTGTGTGTGTGTGTGTGTGTGTGTGCACGAGGGGGGTGGGGAAGGGGATGGCTATGTTGTATTTCCTGTGTCGCAGTTTACTGTTTTTTAGAGCAAGAAAAATGGGCTTATGTAACGGTCATGTGATTTAGCCAGAAATAGTGGTGGGGCTACAGCTGCTGCCTCTCCTCCTGCAGCTTGGTTCCTTGGCTTTTGGCAGCAGCCAGACAGACACACTGCGCACTACTCCTGCTAGCTCAGAAAACAACTTCTGCTCATTCCTACACAAATACAAATACTGTACTGTAGATGAAACAAAGGCAGTGCACAGAATGTACATGTTTGAGCTAACTGCATGTAAACAGAACACACAATCTTCCTTGCAACAACACTAAAGTCTATGCCAGAAAGCTTGGATACTTCTAAAGAAACAAATAGTACAGGATGAACATATAGGAAAATACAGACTGATATGCACCAACATGCAAACTTGCGCATGCATGCAACCATATACACAGTCTGAAATGTGCACATAATTTTAACATCAACCCTAATCCATATACTGGGGTCACTGGGGTCACTATACCACTCCATCTGGTTTGTGTCATGATTTCCATGTGTGTATCCCTTGTGTGTTTGTTTGTGAAAGCAGATACAACATTTGCAGTTTTTTTTTTTTTTTTTTTTTTTTTTTTTTTTTTTTAAATAGTCCAGTGGAGCAGCTTTCTTGATGTGTGTTTGTGCGTGTGCACGCATATGTGTTTGTGTGTGTGTGTGTGTGTATATGAGAGCGAGAGAGTGAATGACTATGTGTGCACGAGCATGAGCCTGTCTGTGTGTGGGCGTATGGCGCTCTGAGGCTGGCGGACGTGTGGAAAAAGGGAAAAAGGAGGGATGGAGATGCAGGCGTAGAGAAGGAGAAGAGTGGAGGAGGAGAGGAGCTGTACAGTGAAGAGCTAGTGGAGCGGAAGGAAGCGCTCTGAAATGGGAGATCATTGGGTTTAGCTAAGGGCTAGGCAGGAGGCAGGAGGGATTCTCGCCATGTTAACATCACTGTCAGGAATAGTCTAGCTGCAGCCAGTGTCCTGGTTCCAGCGAATTCTAATACCCTCATGCCATATACTGTATAATACACCATTAGTCATGCGTTGTAGAATGTGAGAGCGGAATAATCACAATTTCAATAATTTTCACAGTGATAATCATGAAATGTAGATCTCTGATATTGCCAGACATTTCACGGGTTTCTGTGTTGACCTACATTACAACAGAGATTCAACAGCAGAATCAAATATTTACTGCCTTTCAATGCAATGTAATCAAATGAACTATATTTCTGCAATATGTTCAAGGCTATTATTCTTGTTGCATATGTAAGCCTCAATCACTCTCTTCTATCTTCTTTTTTATCACTACACATCACTTTAAAAATATCACTGCTGTTCTTTGTCAAGCTGCATGTATGGTTCACTATGGAACTGACATTGTGTCTTGTCTTTCTCTAGGTCAGCACAACTACCTGTGTGCCGGGAGAAATGACTGTATCATTGACAAGATCCGAAGGAAAAACTGTCCGGCATGTCGCGTACGGAAGTGTCTCCAGGCCGGGATGAACCTCGGAGGTGAGGAGTCACACCCTCATTACAGATTTGACCTGTCACGTGTCTCAGAAGTGACATTTGAGTCAGCCTCGCTCTGCCTATAAGAACGGATAGATATGAAAAAGTAGGTCTGGCTGTGGTCATATGAGGCCCGGGGATGCCTAGTCATAGGATGTTTTTGTGTATGTGTGCGCAATATATTTATATATTTATATATACATTATGCATATGCATACAGTAGGTGTAGATCTACACTACTCTGAATGTTGCCAACTGACAAAGCCTGCAGACATGGTACAGTATTGTATTATGAGGAAAGACAACACTATAGTAGAGAGTAGTGGATTCAGAAGGGAAGTGTGATTTTTTATTTTTTTTCTCTTTTTAAATATATTTGTTTATTGCCACTGGCTTATTCCAATTCAGGGTAGCAGTGGCTTACGCAGGGCAGAAAGCACACTTGATAGGTTTTCAGTCCGTTAGAGAGATTAAAATGACAAATGTTTTTCAATTTTATGCTCTCGAAGGAAAGTAAATTTAAACATGAATGAAAATGCATAAAACAATTCTACATGTAGGATAGTGGACATACAGTAGCATAATGCTGTCAACTCACATGTAATTGATGCCGTTTTTAAATATTAGGGTTCCTCTAAAATAATCCAAATTGAAATTTTTATAAATTGGAATTTTATGTACCTTATTGCAGTGGGAAGAGTAAATAATGATTGCCTTTGGAGAGCCATTCAATCAGACTTAATAGCACCAATGACATTAGACCAACTCAACTGATGTGTTTATATAATTATTATTTCCACGCAAGGTTCCTTGATCTGGTGTCAAAAAAACTAACTATTAATGGAAATGACTAAAGTTGTTGTTCGGAATAATCATTACCCAGTAATCACAAGACTTGTACTGTTGTTCTGTAATTAAAGATTTTAGTGATTTTATCAATTCAGATATGCATTGAGGTGATGATGTAAGAACAGTGACTATTGAATAACGTAAAGCGTAGGGATATTTCAGCACTTTGGGCAGGTTCTGTGACTTAATCTTAAGTACTGTATTATGAAAACTGTCAGTTGGAAATGCACTAGAACTGTCTGCTGTCATGTCAAATCATGTTTATTTATAGCTAAATATCACATAAAAGATGCAAATGAGCTTTACAGGCCCAAAACAGCATCAGCTCCCAAACTAGCTTAAGTTCTCTACGGCTAGAGTCCTTCATGATCCTTGCGATGGTTAACTAAATGGCTGCTGTAATAAGGTTGTAATGACAGGAGACTAAATTAGACACGTGTTATTATGCACAGAGAAAAACCCAATAAAATATTTTACAAAAACAAAAATATTCTACTAATGAGGCAATACAACAAAGACACAAACATGAGAGGACTGCTATTATCAGTACAGTATGAAATGTGTTTCATTAACCAAACTGCAGTTTGGTTATTGTCAACGATCAGATAAATTGCACTAAGAGTATGGGCACTAAAAATTAACTGCTCAGAATAAGGGCCTTTAAAATTTGAGAGGTGAGGATACTCTTATTTCCATTTGGTTCAATGCCTGTGCCTTTAATGTTACATCTAACATGTTGGGAAAACTTTATCCTGGAACCAATCCAAACCACTTTTTTTTTTTCCTGATTTGACATCATCACCCTCTGCAAACACGTACAGAGAAGACTGGGGAGTGGCAGTTGTACACTCTCTCACAGTGGAACAAGCCTATATGGTGCATACTGGGGTGAAGGTGGGTCTTCTGAAATGCTGTATGAAGAGCAGCACTGTTGAGGTGGTGTTTGGGGCATTATAAGAGAGAGGTTAAAGAAGATTTTTAGCAGCAACATGCCAGAGCAAAAGAATGCGCACAACAAAGTCAGCGTAAATATGCTGCCCTTTGTGTCTGTTTCACATTAAACTAATTCATTATTATGTGAATTCACACTATCTATACTCTACAGAGTTGGTGTCCAAATATTACCCCCCCCCCCCAAAAAAAAGTTGAAGGTACAGACCTATTAGAAACAGGACTGAAAAGAGCAACGCCTGCTTCCTGATCACAGGCACTCCCTCCAATCACACACCAAGTACACAGAGACTGGGGTGTGATGCTAAAAACTTTGAAAACCCCATTAGATACAGAATCCAACATCAGCTATTCAAATCTTTCTCGTGTGAACGAGGCCCCAGCCAACATACAGTATATTTCTCCCTGACAATGCACTTACAACCGCTGCGGGTGAGATTGCCATCTACTGAACTTAAAAGGATAAATCTAGACCCAGCACCCAGTGTCAATCATATATAAACATACCAGCTTATCAGCAGATAATTACTAACCTAAGCACATTAAAACCACAAAAACATGACTTGGAGTAAAAACATATCTGTCTAGTGAAATGCTATGTTGAAAAGCAGCTGATGACCTTGAGTTACAAATAAAAGCCAATAAGGTAGCCAATGAGTGTGTCTCTGAGTAGCAGCGGTGTAAACCATTGAATGGGAGCTAAACTGTTTATATCCGATTCTAAGGAGCAGAAATATTTTTGTATTTCAAACATTTCAAATACGAAGTAAGGGGAATGAGTATCCATGCAAGTCATTTTTATATTCCTTCTGCCAGTATACACCAATACCATCTACTACATACCCGGGTGCCTAGCTAAATACAAAAACATCAGTATGACCACTGTTTAAATCAACATATAAGTACCATCATTTCAAACAAAAACCAGAGAAAAAAAATAGCTAATTCAGCTGCTAGCTACCTACATGAGTCACAGTTACAGATACATAACACCATGAGAGAAGAAATTTAGCAGCCTGCACGACCGTGACCAGCACGCCGCGAAACTAATAACTGAATTAAGCAAAAGTTGAAAACAAAGCTGAAACACAACTAAGAAACCAACCGGCAACAGCAACATTAGTCGCGTATTGTACTGACTTTGTTTATAGCACTTTAGCTAGCAACAGCAGCGTTAGCGTTAGCAGTAACTTACTTTTTTTGAAGCGAAGCAGTGACTTCCCGGCATTTTAGTGTGGATAAAATCCTTTGGAAGAGAGGCCGCCGTCCCAAATCACGAAAAGCAGGACAGGTAAACTCCAGCTTCGGTCTTGAAGAACAGCTTGTAGAGAAATAGTGGATGAAGACAAACTTCCAGACGGACGCACTTTAGGAATACCGGTAGTAGCGAGCAGCTAACAGTAGCTCTCCGAAGTGGTGTGAGCAGGCCAGTTTGATTATGAAATGTTTCATCAGTAGCAGCATTATGGCAGTGTTTTTTTGTTTTGTTTTGTTTTATGAAACCGTGAAGCGACAGCACTGATAGAGCATGACACTGCACAGACTATTTAGCTTTAAAAACCCATGGACTTGTTGCATGATTAGTCACAACGTGCACACCGGTCTTGAGTGGAACAGCACACCTGAGTTGATTGCCTGAACAAGCTGATTGGCTTACCTGTGTGAATTGTATGGATGTTTATTAACGTGTACACTCCATTGGCATTATTTAACCTGTCTTATAGAGGTATTGGGTCATCTTAATGGTCTTTTTGGAAGCTGCAGTTTGTGAAGCTGTTGAATTGTAATGTGTTATATGGACAGGTGTTTCTATTATTTTGTCCACTCTATTTATATCATAAATGGGGTGCATAATGCAATGCAGTTCAACAGCACCACAAACTACATCCTTCAAAATCATACAGATGAATCAACACATCTCAGAAACTATTTCATTAAAACTGAACACAATAATCTATTGACAGTAGGATTTATTGCAGGACTGTTGCATTAGCTTTAGGTAGGTGCACCTAATAAACTGCCAACTGAGTTTATGTATTTATTTGCTTGTTTATCATCCTTTAAAGTTTTCCATCTGTGTATGGCTAAAGAATACACAGGAAATTAAACATGATTATTGGACTATTATCTGCTCCTGGTTTTACTGGACCTCATTCAAGACACTTTACAGTTTCCGACCCACATCCTAACATAAACAGTTACAACTTTACAAAAGCTATATCTTCCTTCACATACAGTGATAACAAATTTCCTCAAAAATGATACTGTGGAAATTTGATCAGCACGCCTTTAACATTAACGTGCAAAATAAGAAATTACACTGGTCATTCCTGGTTTAAAATTAAACATTTAATAACAGTAGACAATAATAGTAGACATTGTAACTTGCAACAGACATGAATTTCTGCAGCCAGATAATACTTATTATTTTAGATGTATATCCATATTTGGGTTTAAATGATACCCCTAGAGCATATGACACATTGCAATTATAAACTCAGACTATGAATGTAAGAAATCCCAGCATCAACAATGTGTTAATAAGGACCGTTATGTTCCCCACAGCACGAAAGTCCAAAAAGTTAGGAAAGCTGAAGGGAGTCAGCGAGGACCTGCAGGGCTCTAAGGACGGCCAAACTGCCACAGGTGGCGTTGGAGGTGGTTACCTGTCCTCAGAGAAGGAGCTGAATGCCAGCGCTGCCAGTGCCCTGGTGCCCCACGGGCCTGGGGTGGTCACACCTTTTCTGCCGCCCTCCATCTGCAGCGTGTTGGAGCTGATTGAGCCTGAAGAGGTGTACTCTGGCTATGACAACACGCAGCCTGACACCACTGACCACCTGCTGTCCAGTCTCAACCGCCTGGCCGGAAAGCAGATGGTACGCATGGTGAAGTGGGCCAAAGTACTTCCAGGTTAGTGACCACTAGAGCGATGGGCTGAGGCCTAAATGCTCTTTATGAGTGTGTTTAAACCAGATTTGGAAAGGAGTTGAAACACTGCCCTCAAATATATGTGTATATGAGTTTTTAAAGGTTTTGATATAATGGAGACAGTTGCAGTCTTTTAAGTTGTACTAGTAGTTCATTCATTTTTTCCTGTTGCTTTTAAAAGTCAATAAAAAGGCTGCAGTAAGTGAATTAGATTAAAGCAGCTTGTAAATCTTGTAAATTGTGTGTTTCCAGTGCAATATTTAAACCATTGAGCCTGTTCACTATTACATCTATAATGTTATATTTATAATGAATTTATTATTAAAAAATTTGAAATTGAGTCTTTTTTATTTATGAATGAGTCATAGAAAATGGAAAGTGGTAAAATTATTAGTCTAATAAACAGGGGCATGTATACAATGTAATTATTGACTAGTTTTAATAAAGATAACATGCTATCTTCACTTCTGATCTCTCCATTTTGCTGGTTTTGTGAGTGCAGCCGGCACACAAATTTTAATTTCAAATATTAGGTCAGGAAATAATTCTGCAAAGCTTCAACAAGATTAGCAATGAATCCTATTTTACCATTAAATAGAATCAAGATTAAGATTTCCCAAACAGAACTCATTTACATCATGTTGAACAGAAGATCTAATGTCTGCCTCATTAATTTTTACCTATAAGCCACAGCACGGGAAGAAAACAAATGTTTGAAAAGGGGTAAACAAGTTCCCCTAAAATGCCAGTCAGTGGGAGACATATTGAAAGATGCCTCACAGGTAGCTCTTTGAGGCTGTTTAATTTGCTGTATTGCAAATATTTGATACCTCCACGGTGTCTGCTTGCCATATCCGGACGTATAAATAGAAGGGGAGCCAGACAGAAGGGTCAAAGTGAGTACCTTCGACTTTCAGATATGCCACCGCCTGCATTCAGCTTACATCTGGAGGCTGGCAGGGCTAACACACAGGGCAACATTTACCAAAACTGTCAATACAAAAAGAAGACCCCTAAGTTAATGTTAACTGGCCAAACAGTGTTAAGCCAGGTATTTGACATACCTTTTCTACAAATATGTAAACATTTTTTAAATGATTTGTTTTGGCAGATTGACGGGCGTATAGACTGAAATAGTCCCTAAGCCTTGATAAGTCACTTGTGTGTCCTCACTTGGCCTGTGTTTTGCATAAGGAGTTTCTTGCCAGAGTTTGATTGAGAGTTTGGCAAGTTTCCTATTCAAATCTATTTCTGGTGCTCCATAGACAACACGCCAATAACTGGAGGCCTTGTGGGATTTGCAAAAAAGAAGAATGGGTGAAAATTTCTCAGTGGTGATCATGTCTTAACAAATATTGGCACAAAAAATACACTGTAACAAAGATACGCAGTATGTAATGTGCACACATGCACGTGCCCTGCTAAATAAATTGTTGGTGCTTATTAAGTCCAAATACATTAAATGCCCGACTGTAGTCAGCTACATCAAAACACAGTGCTTTCTTCTCATCAGCCTTATCTGTGTATGCTGTGTGTGTGTGTGTGTGTGTGTGTGTGTGTGTGTGTGTGTGTATGTGTGTGTGTGTGTGTTTTTGTATGTGTTAGGTTTCCGGGGCCTGCCCATTGAGGACCAAATCACCCTGATCCAGTACTCATGGATGTGTCTGTCCTCCTTTTGCCTCAGCTGGCGTTCCTACAAACACACCAATGGACAGATGCTCTACTTTGCCCCTGACCTCATCTTTAACGAGTAGGCATACACTTCCATATCTGCAGAATACTGCGCACATAGGTCTAATGATATTAGAGTGTTCTGATCCTGACATTTAGCGTGGGGCCAGATATTCAGTATTTTTTGATTTACATTATTTACACCATTTTATTTTCAAAATGTTACAAAGAGAGAAGATCACCCCACGACCATCTCACCTGTTAGTAGTAGTTTTGAAACACCCAAATTTCAGCAGATGCATTTCTGTGATGGCACTTGGGTACATATAAAATACATGTGTTGTTGCCTGATGTCCTCTGGGATCTCTAACACACAAACATGTCTATTACAAATGTGAGAACAAATAATTTGTTTTTTAGATGATAAGTAGATGCAGTAATTGGTTAGGCTTTGTCTATTAATCTTTAGTATATTCTGCTATTTTCAGCTGCTCATCAGATGCAAATTTATGCATAAACATCACTTTTGCAAGTGGACTTTGGAGAGTAAGGAGTGGATTTTCCTACTGTACTATTTTAAGCACTCCATTAACATGCCTGAAAACTACTGAAAGAGTTTCTGTCATAATGACGTTGCATGTGTACTTAAAACAAGGTCATAATCTTGCCCCTGATTTCTGGCACTTCACAAGGAAAAATTTTATACTTTTTGTTGCTTCTTTAGTTGCGTCAGGCACAGGCAATCAAAAGCCTAGCAGGGGCAGTCAATGTCCCACTTAATCTGTGTTAATACGTTTGAACAGGAGAGCAAGTGGAGAGGAAGTGTATGTGGGCATGTTCTCGTTGGAGCTGCAGTGCATGGCCGGTGATGAATTGAATGTTATAGAATTAATCAACGAGGAGAATAGCAGCCTCTGTAGGCAGCCTGCTGTAGAGGAGCGGGTTCATGCAGGGGCAGGTTTAAAAGCTCCAACTAATAGCTTGTGTAAGTCAATGTCAGTGGGTCAGTTTGTCCCAAATAAATAAATAAATAAATAAATAAATAAACAACCTCACAAATGCCATTGTGCAACACAGCTACAGCCTCTCTGTCTGTGTGTGTTTTAGCACTATGAGCTTTGTACAGTGGGTAAAAGCATTAGTTTGCCACACCAGTGATCCTCTGATCCTCTAATCTATTTAGTGCCAAGTGGATCACAGTTTATTAAGAATTATGTGTTTCTTCCTGTAAGATGACTAACAGTTTTTGGAGAAAACCTAATTTTGGGATCGAGACTTAATGGTTTGTGTCATTTGGCAAGTCCAGTTCAAAATAAGTTGATAACACAGAGGAAAATACTGGAGTTGCACAAGCATTCATAGAATAAATGAATATGAGAATTGTTTTACTGTACAGTATTCTGCTGTATGCTGTATATGATGCGGTTTCTGTACACCACATCTCAGGAGACGGATGGGCCTGGCATTCAGCCTGACAGAGCAGAGGAGATGTAGACTGGCTGTTGTTAGGGGTGGCCTGGATGTTGGTCACATGCTGTGAGGGTTGCCTGGATGTCACTGCCATCCCTGCTGTGTTTTCTTTTTGGGCCAAGGTGTGTTGTGTGTTGCTTGATGTTAACGTACGCAAGTGTGTATGTTGCATACGTCATTGATAATTCAGTCAGAAATAGGGACAAAATTGGTCCATAACTTTGCTGAGTCTTTGGGGGAGTGGACAGTGGACACTTGTTTCCATAGCTACTTAGTGCTTATTGACCCAGGACATTATGGCATTTATTGAGTAGACTGTCCACTCACTCAGCTATTAGAGTGAAATGTGTCACTGATGTAGAGTAAATACTGCAGGGACAAATGTGCATTTTACATTAAAGACAAAGTAAGCCTGCATAATCTGTCATTTAGTCTTTTATGTGTGGTGAATGCTTGCAACAGATAAACAATGCTATTTCCCTAAAGGTTCTGGGCACTCACTCCTAATTCAATTAATGCACATGTTGGACAGGCAGAATTTATCTACTGTGCGTAAAGGTAGACATGTAATGCGGAATATATAACAATGACAGTAAGATCCACTGTCCACAGAGACAGGACAGACTATATTTTTGGGTTTCAAAGCAGCAGCACCCCCTGTCTGTGCCTACACCAGTCAGTGTGCTGTTGGTTTTCTGTCTGCACAGAGAGCTAACGTTTCATATATCCAAACAAAACTTTTCATTTGAATCTATATTTTAAACTTAACAGTTACAGAGACACACAGCGTTGTTGGACTGCTCTATCACTGGCTGACGGTGGCACAGACAACAAACCACTGTGAAAAATGCACTTATAAAGTGAGTTTGCAGGCGGGATCGCTAATTAGCTGCTCACCTGCGGCACCATAACCAGCTTAAATTTTACCAGAAAATGTCAATGTCAGTCAGTTCACATACTATGAGGTTTGTAGTCTTAATTTGTAAGTAACACTGTCTGTCCTTGATTTGTAACTGCAGTTACCGGTGCAAGATGATTTACATTGTGTCACTGTTCCCGTCAGCTCAGCCATCAATCAAAAACATACACTGGCCCACCCACTCAAAGGCTTAAGGCTAAAAGAGCATTTCTGATGTATCTATGAAGACCTTTTTCCTGTTTCACTTTTAAAAAGATAATTCATTTTAGAATTATTTTTGACACGATATTTGACTGAAAAGGAATGGCTGGTTGTGATTTCAGTCAGACGTTGAGTGATTTTTTCAGTTATACTTTTCTGACCAAATACATTTTTTCAGCTTCCTACAGCCAAAGATGAATCTGAACTTTCCTCAGTTCTGTGCTCCTTCCTGAATCTTTTACTATAGAAACAGAGAAAGAGAGAGAGTCCAACACTGAGAGAGAAAGACAGAGAGAAAACCAGAGAGAGAGCGAGACAGAGATATAGAGAGATGAGAAGGAGAGAGGGAGAAGGAGGGAAGGAGAGAGACTGCTGCCAGTTTTTTTTTCTTTCCTCCCCAAACCAGCAGCTCATTTTGGGCAGTGATTCAGCAAAATTGATTTCAGGAAGAGAGTGTGAGAGAAGGAGAGGGAGAGAGAGAGAGAGAGGGAGAGAGGGAGAGAGAGAGAAAACGTGTGGAGACTTTAGAAACTCCAGCCCAAAGTTGTAGGTATTAAATGATGTTATGCTGCACTTTGTGAAACTGCACACATACAGAGTGCAGCTCAGCAGGGAAACAGGTCTGCTCAGGCGTTGTCACAGTTTATCAGTTATTCAGTCGGGCTCACAGACACAGCTGTACAGTAAATACTGTAAAGCGTTATGCTGTCTTGCTTTAATGGGAACATTATGCACTCATTTTGAATCGGCTCCTTCTGGCCGCCTCTACAAAATGTTTAGTCTAGTTGTTATCAGAGCGAAGTCTCCAGCCCCAAAGCCTATGTAATGATGCCGTTTCACTATTTTGTGGGTAAAACTCTGACCTCTTTCAAGTCAAGCCACACCACTTGCATTTAATTACTGTAGTCTCGATGGGATGGTGATTTATAGCCGAGAGAAGTAGCATCTAAAGCCAGAGTTTCCCTTGAATCTGTGGCATCTGCAGAGCACATTCCTGATTGGCTCATACTATATATCCCTTCTAATGTTTCTTTCCTGTTTTTGTGAACTCTGTGATGTAACCAAGATTATTTTGCTGATAAAATGTGTGTGAAAAACGAGGGGAGTGAGAAAGCGATAGGCATGACGGGCATGCGCGATCAGCGTGTGCGCTTAGTGGTGTATTTTCAACACATCGATTCGCATAAGCCTGTTAAGTAAACATGTAGATCTCAGTATAGTTAACAGATGTTCATGTATGTGTCATTTCTATCAACATAAATACGGGAATTATACATCCTTCTTTAAAGGGTTTCTATGGTGACTAGAGTTAGATAGGGGGTCTTTAGTCTGCCACAGTCTTAGAGAAGTGGTGCATCTGTGCTGTGATACTGTACGCAGCACTCTGCAATCTGGGGGGATTTGGTATTCTGCTCTTAGCCCAGTAGGATCCTCCTCTGCACTGTGTGGAAATATTGTTTCACTGGGCTGAACTAGTATGATAGGAATGGAGTGAGGAAGCCAATGAGCTATGAGTTAGTTTTGACAATAAAAAAAAAAAAAAATCAATTGAGAGAGTACTGAGGATGAGGATTATAACTAATACTGATATAATCTAATACAAGAATTCTGAAAGAAATACTACTTTTTTGTGAAGCTTAAAATGTTTTTTTGTTGTCATGTTCTCCTCCCTCCTTCATCTCTCTTTTCTTTTTTCAGGGACCGCATGCAGCAGTCAGCCATGTATGACCTGTGTGTGGGCATGAGGCAGGTGAGCCAGGAGTTTGTACGTTTGCAGCTAACCTACGACGAGTTCCTCTCCATGAAGGTCCTTCTGCTTCTCAGCACAGGTAGGCAGCGAGCTACAGGCCTGCGCAGGATCTAATTTATTCATCCCATTCCCACCGGCTCACAGTGATTACTACTTGCACTTTGTCCCAAACCTACCTGCGAGCACAATTTACTAATTGTGAAATGAAATGTCATTTGAAAGCCATTTATTAAAAAGAAAAAAAACATTATGTGGTCAACATCAATTCCAGACAAAAATTAATTGAAATTTCCTATTAAAACTGACTAAATCAGAAACATTAATATGAATGCTGTGAATTTACTGGCTATAAGGCAAATAGACTAGACACTACTAATAGAGACTGCTGTTCTGCACCACTTTGGACCATCTCTCACAAGACAACAGCTGCCACATTTCATGTGAGTGACTCAACAAGGGACCTGTAGTGACCCAGTTAAGCTGACCATCAGACACCACCACTTTAAGTAACTGCCGAAGGTTGATGAGTGGATGCTCCTTTTTTTGTTACACTACATCGAAATTCAGGTGGATCGCGATAACCAGGCCGTTAATGTTTTTTCACCACATTGATCCTTCAAATATTTCTGGACAACAGGACAGGAAGCTTTTTCTAATAGAAAGTACCAACCCCCTTGTGAGAATATGCTTCCCTTTAATGGATAGTAAGCTGTCATGCTCCAGCATCAAGGCATCTGTCTACAAGTATTCAGACCCTTTTCTACCATTTTAAAAGGACTGAAATCTGTGCATTGAGTTAGTCATTATAGTGGTGCAGTTTGAAGCAGGATTCACTAGGAGCAACAAGGCTGAAGTTTTTAGTTCACTGATAACAAGTGGTTTATTGTGAACAGTAGAAGCGTCTGTGTATTTGTCTGCTCTAACACTACATACATGCAAAGTTGCAATGCCTTGTGTGTTCCCAAATTAGCACTTGTTTTGTGATATCAACAGCCATACAGTTCACTGTTAAGGCCTGAGCCACCCAACAATCTCCTACCTTCCTTCACCAAAAGACAGCCTCTGCATAGGAAATGCACTGATAAGGTGTCTTGTATTCTGTTCCATCCACCACACGCCTCTGAGACAGTGTTGGTGATGCTCGTACTCACCTTCCTGGCGCCTACGATCATGTTAGATCACGCTTTAAGCTCATTCTTAGTAATCCATTAATATGCATAACAGCTGTGGAAATAGACTTGATGTTTCATGCACCTGTTTGTGTAGCAACGTACAGTAAAAGCAAATAGGAGGCGGTGGATGGGAGGGTGGGGGGCGGGGGCTGTGTGAAGGCTAATCAGGTTTTTATTTTATTTTCTAATTGCCCATGGGTAAACAGAGTACTTCTATCGCTCACTACTGAAGGTCTCACAGTATTGCCACTCTCATCCAAACTTCGCCCACAGGCGCTGCAGCCTCACAGAGAGGATGTGTTGGACCAAGTTGCTCAGCTGGAAACTGAAAGCAGTGGTTTTTCCACAACCTCAACACACAGTGAGCTGCTGCTGTCATCTCAATAGTAACAGTTAAAGATTCCATGATGGCAGCTGTGTCATAACTTCACTGTCCACACCCACACTGTTAGCTATTAAAAAGATAACTGCAACACTTAAAGGTATGCTGGGACGCATGAGACCTGTAGCAGTCTTATATTTATGCAAATTTCTACATGGGGGCCTTATGTGTGTCTGTGTTAATAGATGTGCAGTAGTTGGAGAGATGGACAGAGAGGTGAGGATAAGGGGGATGAGTGAGAGTTGCAGCGAGGTATTTGAAGAGTCTGCATGCTGGCCAGACTTCAGACTCTTTGAACTTCAGCACCAGTGCCAATCAGTGGAAATATTCATTGGCAGAGTATTTATTTTTCCATTACTGAGCCCTCAGAAAGTGGTGCATGAATGCTGGACTCAGATGGGCAACCTTGGAAAACTTTTCTTCATCCTACCATTACAAGTTTTGCCATTTTACATTTGTATTTAAGCATTTAGTTCATATCATTATTCAAAATTAATTATAATGAGTTTGTTTTGTATGGTCTCACGTTTAGATGAAAATCATTTTGACATTGTAATGGGATTTTCACAAGTGTATGTGACGGATGAGCCCACGTCGTCGTCCATCTTGAAAATCTACTGCACCTTTCAGGTGCGGCAGATCTGAAAGTTACGAAACCAACTGCCCTTTAATTGGACTGTCATCATTCAATTAGAGGACAGGTGTAAAAACAGCATCAAACTTCTGCTTGTAATTTCCGCCCTAATGACCCTAGTTTGAGTCACTCACATGACAAGCAACTACACGGTTGAAACTGACCATTTATGGGATTTTTTACTAATGGACAGTGTTTCCCAACTTCTTTGGTTAATAACTCCTAAACAAAGAAACAATGTGCTTCTTGTGCTGTACTCACAGTAGTACATACAAAGGAAATGAATACATTGTGCAGTAGACATTGATTCATTCAATATTTCCCAGACCAATGGATAAGATTGGTTTTGATTTTATAGTACAGTGACATGTGGAAGAGGCAGTGCGAAAGCATTTCCCCGATACAAAATCAGTGTTGTTGAGTCATCTGGAAGCAGGGGAGCCCCGGCTGGACTTCAGCTATTGGATGTTGGGAGAGATGAGGAAGAGAGAGATGAGGCGAAAGAGGATGAGAAACCAACGGGGAAAAGAAAGATTTTAAGAGTGAAATCAGACAAATGTTGACAGTGAGAGCTAGTGTCGGTGAGGAAGAGACAGGTGCATAGCTGTAGGGAGAAAGAAAGAGAAGACAAAGGGGGTGGGGTGGAGGGGTGGCAGAGCCGGTCCTTCTGTTGCTGTGGCCTCCCTCTCCTCCTCTGGAGGTTTTCCAGAGAGCCCTGCTGTACTTAATAAAGGCCAGTCAAGCACCAGGCAATGCTCCAAGACCTGCTATTTTTTTCCACTTCCTTCAAACCCGAGCTGGAATTTTGAAGGAGAGGTTGTGGATAAAAGAAGCAGGTATACAGAATCGAAACGGGGAATTTAAGGTGGCTTCAATCGGCGCTGGTTATTGGATTTAGTCAAAATATAGCAGTAAAATGTGATGGAAGGAGAAGAAAATAATCATCCAGTGCCTCATTTCTAATGCGCAGTAGAGAAATTCCCGTACCTGCCCATTCTAAAGTCTACATGATGGAGCGACTGTACTGTATGGAGGCTCGGCAAACATTTCAGCAAAAGCACTTGTGAATAATTTCAAAAACAAGCAGCCCGTCTCTGAGGCGCTGTAGGAAGCTCGCTTAGTTACAGTCATTCAGAGATAATGTTAGGGCCTCGTGGAAGGAGTAGCGGCAGAAATGTTTACAGAGGAGTTGTCAGAACTTGTCAGCTGAGCAAGTACTACAGAGTCACTGAGTGTGTATGTGCCTTTGGGCTGGTTTGAAAAATGGTGTATGTGTGTGTGTGTGTGTGTGTTAAATTGAGAGCGGGTGAACAAGTGAAAGAGAGAAAAGGAAGGAGGGATAAAGAGAAAAGAGAGAAGGGCTGTTATTCCTCTCTGACCTTGGCTAAGGTTTCACTGAGCCTGCGGCGTCTCATGACCCTGTTTGGATTTGGCGCAGGAGCAGTGGCCTGCTCAAACCAGTTGCACTCCTCACCTCTACACAAAAGTAGATACCATTGCTAGATTAGCTCCTTCATTTGTTCTGTTTCTGTCGAGCCTCATTCCAGATGGTGCAGTGTGTTTATCAGGATGATGGGTGTATATCGCGTGACACCCTTTATAGTTAATTACATAAAAGCCTGATAATTGCTTTACACTATTTCAAGTGCTGTTATAATTGTCACTCTAACCAGTCATTTGACTTTTTGGGTCATATTTAAAATTTCCTGTTTGACAACACCCTAAAGATTCACTCATCCCCTAATGAATAGCATCAGGTGTTAAATCAAAACTGAGAGCTACCCTGTCAGTCAGGTATGCACGAGCAACCCAGAGCAGGAAGCTGCATGTCCTTTAACAACACATATGCTAATGGCATCTCCTAGCTGCATGAGTTATGTTTGCCTCTTTATTTTATGTGCATTAGAAAAAGAGCTTTCCCGGCCTTGTGGTACACATAATAATGTAGCTGCACTCCACATAGAAAATATGGCCTAGTTGAAAAGGCTCTATACCTGCAGCAAAAATCTGTTTGACACCAATTACGGCCGTATAAATGCCCTATTTTGAGGCCAGTCATGGTAACGCCCCTAAATGCCAGGTCAGTTTCTAATCAGGGCGTATGTGGGTCAGTGGGAGAAAAACAAAAGGTCCAAATGGGGGCCTGGGTTTTAGCACATTCTCATCATGTCAGCCATGAAATAAAGCAAAACTCATGCCCTCTGCACCAGGGTCCAATCTGTTTTCATATCTGTTTCCCTCAGCTTCATGTATGTTGTGCCTGAAGGTGTTTGTGCATCAAACTACGATGAAGACAATTACAGACAGAACGAGATAATGAGAAGGAGGAAGACAACACAACACAAACACACATTCTCAGAGTTATTGACCTATAGTGCTCTATTCTCAAAACGATGCAATTCTAACTGACATGAAGTTGGCTTTTGCCTGTGGCTATCCTTTCTGCAGAATTCAAACAGGTCCTGCCATTTGTTGGTTTTTTGCTAGTGTTGCTGCACGTGGTTTAGGTTTATCTGAGGCAGTATGGCTACTCAAAAGCACAGAAGAAAGTAGATAATTACCTTTTTTAATGGAAGTCATTTAAATCATTAGTGCTCAGAATTTCACATTTTGCTGTAAAGGGTATTTTTGTAAGGTTTCAAAGACACTATAAAAATTTACAGGACATAAATGCCATCGCCTCTTCTCAATATGTTTAGCCATGCTGTGAATGCAGAGGAAACCATTCGTTCTCTGAAGCTGTTACATGTGATCGGGAGCTTCTTTGGCCTCTCTGATGAAACATGAGTGACTTCGAGCTATTTTTCAGAGGTGGCCCAAACTGCAGAATGAGATACTGTGTTCTTCGCACTCAGTCTTGTGATGTTCCGCATTAGAGATGTGACCATTAGCTGATAAACTGCATTTATTTGTATTATGTAAATATAAACTGGACACATTTAGGTTTCAGGCTCTCGGATAAAATGATCAATATGAAGATGTCACCTTGAGCTTTAGGGAAATGTGATTGTCATATATATATGATAGATTGATGCTACCGTCCAAATCATTATAATGTGAATGAAGGTTGCCGTCATTTAACAGCTCTGGTCACTGAACAAACTTCTTGATGAATGAGGTTTGTTGGACAAAAGGATTAAGCTCTTTAACACACATAAGCTCTGTTGTTCCCTTTTGTTACTGTCATTATTGCTGAGATAACTTTTAGTCAAGGCTTTCCAGTATATCAGTTGTCTTTCATGAATCAATGGCTACACATGAAAACTAATTACCATTTGAAATGGTGAAAGTGGTTGTAATGAGTTGCTAAATAGGCCTAGGTCGTCAACATGGGGAAAATGTCCAAAAAAGGAAACTGTGTGGGAGTGGGTGCATAATTCACCGAGCACCTCTAATTACACATTTCTACATAAAAGGAACATACTAGTGGTTGTGCATGGCTTAGACCATTAACTGCAAATCATGTTTAATGTGCGTCTGTCAACCATTTTCTATAGCATATCATATATTTTGGGACTTACTTCTATCATTCCACATGGCCATTAGTTTTTCTATTCATTTCGGCAAGTAGGAAAATCAACTTTAGAGGCTTGAAACTTTAATCACCACAATTATCTAGTAACTTGTTTTTTATTTTTATAATTATTTTTTTTATCATTTGAAATTTTGTGGAACTATTTGTACTGAACTAAGCAGATGAGGCCTAATAGATGAAGTAAAAAAATATAAAGTGAGGTATGCAAAACATGTGAACTGAACTGCGGACTTTGTTATTTCATTAAAAAAATCCCCGACAATCGTCTCACTAAAACAAGTTTTAGTCATTTCTAATACATCTGCATAAAACTAGTTTTGTTGTCCTACTCTCCAACCCATCTGATGACAGTGGTATTTATCTGTTTCCCAGTTCCAAAAGAGGGTCTGAAGAACCAGGCAGCATTCGAGGAGATGAGGGTTAATTACATTAAGGAGCTCCGGCGATCAGTGGGAAAAGCAACCAACAACTCTGGCCAAACCTGGCAGCGCTTCTTCCAGCTCACCAAGCTACTGGATGCCATGCATGATGTAAGTACCCTTGCTCTGTCTAGCTCCCATGTGCCAATCGCCTACAGTACAGCTCAGGCTTCCCTTGGCAGCCTCTCGGTACGCCATGCCTTCACACACGGACCAAGGTGTCCAGTGGCACTTTGTGGGTCTAATATCACTGGAAATGTTTTGAGTAAAATGGCAGCATAGTGGATTTGGATAATGCATTTACTTAGCGGTTCAATGGTGCTGTGGCTTGGAATAAGGATTACTGTATCCCAATCCCTCCCTGAGGGGGAGGTTATTTTGGAAGAGGCGGTTACCAGGCTGTATTGGTGAATGGAACAGAAGGGGATCGATGCCAGTTCGGAGTTTATTGGATCAGAGTACACAGTGGTCACTGTGGTAAATGTGCTAAATCACTGTTCGTTTTTTAATGCATGGGACAACTGGAATATGGCATAATGACAATGTAAGCAAAGCCCCAAGAGGTGAGAGTCAGCAAGCAAGAGGTCGCAGAGATAAATGGCCAGAATTCAATGACCCTAATGACTGAGTGAATGGGGTCAGCGCTGAATAGATGACCCTTCTTCTTTCAGGTTTGCCCTGAAAAAAATCAGTGGTGCCCCCAAGTGGTGAGCTGATAGGAACTGAAAAGGGGTTAGTGGCCCCATAGAGTGTAAACTCACTCATATGATTATATGTTGTCGTGTCCTAAAATTCTCTGATGCCTTAAAACGTTCAAATATAAATAACATTATCCAAAGAAAATTAGAAAATAACTTTTTGTCAGCCTTGAAATAAACAATAAAAAACTACATCTACTGTATGTTTCTCATTAAATTTTGTATCTGTGTTTTCCAGCTGGTTGGGAACTTGTTGGACTTCTGTTTCTACACCTTTCGTGAGTCCCAGGCCCTGAAGGTGGAGTTCCCCGAAATGTTGGTGGAAATCATCAGTGACCAGATACCAAAGGTGGAGTCAGGCCTCACTCACACAATCTACTTCCACAAGAAGTGACTCACTAAACAGATGGGACAGAAGCAGCATTAAGAACTGGAAGAGGAGGAAGGAAAAGGTTCAAGGAAGAGAAAGTGTGCAAGGAAGGCCTGAGCAGTTGGCCTGCACCCTGTCGCCCAGTATGCCAGCATCCTCGCCTTGGAAAGTTAAGTGACGTGGTGGCAGAAGTAAAAAGGGGAGAAGGATTTGACCCTGCTGTCACCATGAGCAGGTCAGAGCTGTGAATAGTCGTGGAGCCAGCGTGACGCGCTGAGAAGCACTTGTGACAAATGTGACAATGCATCCCGAAGCACCCCCCCTGTGCCCCCCCTGCCCCAAAGACGATAACAGTATTTTCTATGGAGATAAAGCCATACATTTCTTAGGATGCGCTAGATACATTCACTACGCACGCAGGCACGCACACACACACACACACACACACACACACACACACACATACACATACACACACACACACACACACACACACACACACACATGCACGCACACACACACGTAGAGGGAAATTGATACACATGCTGTCCACATGCCTTCACACAAACGCACAGATGCACTCCACATGCACTAAAATCAGATTCCCTTACAAATCTAGAGAAAAAGTTTTTGCAAATATTAACTGTGGCTTATGCAGTCTTTCACAAATAATAGCACTATGAAAAATAAATATATATGCCGATACTTAGATTTTGCTTTGCAGTGTAGCAACATACTGCAAGACTACAGGGCAAAGAACATTATGAGGAGGCACAGAAATTATAGACTGTAAGGCGAAAGGTCTATTTGAATATATTCCAAGGGCTATACAAGCGTCATCATAAGCTGAATAATTACATTAAATCTAACAAGTCCAAGTTTGAATCTCAATCGGTGTCATAACAGCCATCATTAACATTCACATACTGAGTTTTTAATTCAAATATGTAGTCAAACAATCAAAACTAATATGCAAAAGTCCAAAGCTAAATCTGTTATGAAATAAAAATGTCTCTCTTGTGTAAAAGAAAGCTTGCACGTGAAGCTCCCATGTCATGAAGTCACTATTTTAGGCATTGTGGTGTAGAATTAAGACAATATTGATGAGAAATTTTACCTTTGTGCATAAATGGTCAGGAGTGCTGCAGGACAGAAAACATCATGCATTTAAGGAAATGGTTTCAGTAGAGTCCGCTGGTAATGGATTTGACTGAGGTGCATCCGTAGTAATTGCTGTCATTTGTGTTTATCTCCAGAGCAGCTGTCCGAATGTCTGTTTTTACTCACAATGAAGCAAAACCAGCCCTTTGTGAATCAACACTTATCTACTCTTCCCAGAAATAATAAAAAGCATTTTATAAAAGTGTGTTGCAAAGGTTTAGTTTTTGACAAGCCAGTCATTTTACATTAAGGTGCTTCATTTCTACAAAGCCAGGCAAAACATAACATGTACAGTAACTTGTAAACAGTCCATACAATACACTATGTGGACACACAGTTTAAACACATACTCTGTAAAGTTGATATAATACAAAATGGAGCATTACTCTGCAGTGCTTACAGCAAATGGCTAATGTATCAAAACCAGGCAAATGTGTACAGGTATTAACAACTTCTTAAACACATTCTATTCAGCTGTTGTACAGAAGATGTTTTGAAGTACGTGTTGATGAATGCTTGATGAAGAACTGTTGGTATAATCACCTATCCTAATTTAGTTCATTTCCTTTCTCTTATCTTAGGGCCAAGTACTACTATTTTAGGTATGGTAGGCCCAGTCATCTGGACCATTAACTTATCTCACACCCCACTGGTTTCTGGGTGGTTGTGGAACACTACTATGATGCTACTGAAAAGCGATAGAGCCGCTGGGGAAGAAAAACAGTGGGGGCGTGTGATTTTTATTTTTTTTTTGTGCCCTGTGAGCGTGTATTTACATGGGAGTATGGAGCGAGTATGGCTTAAGTTTGTGTGTGTGTGTGTGTGTGCGTGTGTGTGCGTGTGCTTGTGCGTGTGTGTGTTTTTTTTTCCTGGCAAGCATGTGCATAGTTGATCTGCTCTTTCAGCGTGGGTATTATGCATTTATGTTATAGGATTAGCCATATCCTATTTCCACATTTAGATTTGCACAGAGGAGATACAATGTGAAATGAGGCATTAGTGCAGCTAGCAGGAATTGTCTGTTCTGATAAGCAACTGTGATGATGCGGGAAAAGACTTTCTGCATGGTCAACCAGCCTAAAGTTAGACAACATGACATCATTAGCACAGCAGGGTGGTTGTGTATTGTATTTGTGGCCTCAGCTGTCATAATGACGGCACTGTGCTACACTATGAGGTCTCTTCTGTGGTGTTAACTATGTGAAGATTGGTGTACAAAGAGATGGAGGTGCCAGGATCACAACTGTCATTAGGGACTGTATGAAAATTACCGGGTAGAGGAGGAGGGTCAGAAAAGGGGCGGGGTTGAGCATTTTAAATTTTTGCTCATGGGAGGGTAGTCTAGAGCAGGACAAGGTATTTCAACTATTTCTCAGCCCAAAATTATATTTTTTTAATTATTTCTGGGGTCTAACCATTTAGCAGCTCTCGATTTCAAATTAAGAGACTTGCTGTATTTTCTGTTTTTTTATGCTTGCTATAAACAAATTATTTCGGAGATATTTAGGAGGGTATCGCAGTGTTTTCTAAGTCTTGGATCGGTCTAAAGACAATATTAATTGCACTCTCCACCCCAATAATTTTCATACAATCCCTTATCAGAAGGGCCTCATTTTACAGTCTGTCTTTGTTGTGCATTATTGTGTTCAAGTTGTGAAGGACCCTTAAGCTAATCTCTCACTGTTTCTTTATTTTGCCCCCTTTTTGTCCTTTTTAAGGAACAAAAAAACTGTCTAAAGGTTCATAGGATGAATGGGAAAGTATTTTTGAGAGAATTATATTTTGCTGGAAAACAATATTTAAGTACTTTGTCTAAAAATGATATCCTTTTTGTAAAATGAAATGTTAATGCATGCTTTTTGATGAGATGTTTACATTGTATTTAAAAAAGGGAAACTTGTGCCTTTTTATCTCACCTGATTTACAATTTTACAGTATATATTGTAAATAATACAGCAAGTCCTTATGTTGAGTATAGTATAAAACATTTCTACTTTAACCATCTTGTTGGAGTATTGGAAAAATTTGTCTTTCCCACTCGCCATGTTCTGTGTTGGATCACAGAGAAGAATTTACAGTAAGGGTTGGTGGCAGAAAGGGCCAAATAGAGAAATGAATGTATTATACATTGTGAGAGACTTATGGAACTTACTACCTGAATGTTAGAGAGAGTAAAAAATAAAAATAAATAAAAATAAATAAATAAATAAATAAAAAATAATAATAATCAAAAAGTATTTCTTATTTTGTAACAAGATGTAAGTGATGAGTTGTTGCTGTTGAAATGATTTCCTAACCCATGACGGTATTGTTGATGAGCACCACAATAAAATCAAGACGTCACAAACTATTGAAACTTGGATACGTGAAAGAAAGTTCTTGACTTTTCAGCTGGAAAATACAAACTTTGTGCACACGCAAAATGAAATGAACCAGTGGATGTAGAGACTTGACAGACTTGTTAGGTTAGCCGATTCAAATTTGACTGTCTTTGACTAGTTATTAACTGCACCTATTTCTCTAACTGCCAAAATAGGTTTCAGTCACAATGTAACAAAATTGTCCCAAAGAACGGTAATGTAAAAAATACCGCGATCTACACACAGTAGATTCTTGATAAGAACAAAGTTAACCATGATGTTATCAAGACCCTGAACGACCCTATGCCCTCCAGACGTCTAGGCTTTGACTGTTGGCTATTAAATTATTTTGGCTATTTAAAGTAATAGTTCAATATTTTGGGAAATACACCTTTTTATTTCTTACTAAGAGTTAGATGATCAATACACTCTCATGCCTGTGTGCTAAATATGAAGCTACAGCCAAGCTGTTAGCTTAGCTTGTCACTTGAGTCAGCGTTTGGTGGTGAAGACTACAAGTCTGAAAAAAATCTGGGGGCATGGAGTTAGAAAGTGAGCTTACCCAACCTCTGTAGTCCATTCCTCTTCTCTGCTCAAGGCTACATTAGCCACTACTAGAATAACACAAAGACACACTCCTGTTGGTGGTCGAGTTGCATTGTGGGTAATGTAGGCGACAGATGGGAAGGTAAGAAGGATGGAAGAAGATTTAAAGTGTGGAATATGGTTCTGTTGCATCTATTTTGATCTTTTTTTTTTCAATTGTCCATTGTGAGTCCAACAATGTGAAAGTAGTGCAATGCTAAATTGGTGGCGACGGACATGAGAGTGGTATCAACCTTCTCACTGAGCAAAAAGTGAATCCTGGTAAACGCAATTCCCAAAATGTTGAACCAACCCTTTAGTGGAACAAGATTAATGAACAGCTAATTTAATGGTCATCAGTCACTACCTACTGCAAACCATAAATAAAAACCCCTCCCTTACTTGAGGGAGCAATGTTACCTTCAAAGCTGTCCTGTTTGTAAATTAACTCTCCTTTTGGGCATGAATGACTCAGAATGTGTCTAACTGCTGTTTCACAGTACACTATCGCGTCACTGTATGTGGAGTCATGTCATTGCCATTTTCTGTTCACAGCCATGAATCGGGTGTAAACAGACTAAGCCATATCTCCACAGCCATGGCAGTGCATTTCTTATAAATATATAAATATATTCAAATGCTTTTTTTTTCCAATTCCAAAAATGACTTTTTACTCAGATGCTTTGTACAATATTTCTCAGCAACTACACAGCAAACATACAGTAGACATCCTTCAACATAAACCAGTAAAACATCTTTGAAATCAGTTACTACTGTATATCTTGATGCAGATATTGCCATACTTGTGTTTGCAAAACTATTGCAAGATTCTAATAAAACTGTTAAATTAATAATTTGACATGATGTAATTTATCTGTTTGTGTACGTATGTATGGCCTGTATGTGTGTGATGAAAATTATACCATATGAGACAGAAACTGGTGGTGGAAGGTGCTCCAAAAAAATGGGCTGTTTGATCTGGATGAATTCAAAACAGCTGCATATGGTGGCTGGGGAGTATAATGAGCCAAAAAACACAGAGTTAGCATGGAAGAGCAGAGATGATGTGGAGCAGCAGCAGGTACAGCAGTCACAGGGAGAGGAGATGAAGAGTACAAAGAGAAATGGAAAGTGAAGAGAGTGAAAATGGCAGCGATAAAACATGCAAGGATGAGACTTTTACAGTAAAACGGTGCCTGTGGAGAAAAATCACCATTAACCTTGTTAAAGGCTGATCTG